TCTGATCTTTGTACCATAGTTCCACAGTTAGAGTGTACGCATGGAATTTCAACAAACTCACAAGTGTGGTCATGATCCTACGAAAAAATAACGAATTGGTTTGTATCTAAATGTAAACGCAAGTCAGTCAATGCAAACATGTAGACTGTGCAATAAAAGTCTGTGGTCCTTTTATGCCTTTGACTGAACGTTGCGTAGACTAGACCTCTTTGTTAGCGGCTGATGTAAGGACAAGAGAGTGGCTCGTGCAAGGCTCTCATTCAAAAGAGACGAGCAAGAAAGCAGGCGAGCAAAACTCATCATGGGTAGTGGGAATAAGTGAGAAATCTCTTCAAACTACCATTCCTCCCACCCCCTCCCCTTTCGCTCGTCCAGACTTTTCACTTTTACTCATAGATAGAATGCTTGAGTAAGCTAAAACGAAGAGATAAGCTTAAGCTATTTAATTGATCACCGTCATAAAATGTTTCACTTTTTCATTTTTTCCATCAACTGTCTTAATTCTTGGTTGAAAGTGTTTTTAGCAGAACCGGAACTGGAACTGTAAAATCAAAGCGTCACTGTAAAATCAAAGCATCACTGTAAGTTTTAATAATACCTGACGGTGCTTTAGCTGGCCGATCCACTGGCACCCTTTCTCGAAACGGGGACAATGAAGCACTAGTTGGAGGATTTCGCGCTCCACAAATTTATCAGGGAAGATCTGTATTAGATTGACATAGATAATTGAAACTTGAATGCATTCATACATCGGCGAGCACCTTTTAGTAAACCTATTAATAAATCTGTTAATCATGTTAAATCCATCTGTCTTCCTACTTCTACTTCTTCCTACCAGCGAATCAGAGAGTTTTCAAAGGCCTGGTAAACAACGATGAAAGAGTTAATTCCTCGACATAAAGTAAATTGACAGAATGCAACTCCTGATTGAGTTGCCAATTGAAAATTGGCACCCAGACCTTCTCAATTTTCTGGCGGAAACCCTGCAATTAACTCGAATCACTATCCAAGTGTAAGAGGTAAACACCAACACCCTGGTCATTGCAACTCCCACTAAAATGGTACTTAGAACTTTTCGTTACATTTTGGGATAATATTTGGAAGCGCATCGTTACTCAATTTTTTGTACCTTTCTATGATATAGTAAAATTCCGGATTCATGAACGAACCTCTCTGATTAAGAACTTCCAATTCAAAGGTTAAATTGAAAGAGTCTCCTATGTAAAACCACTCCATACATAAACTATCGGGGGACATGCAAAAACAAAGAATATCATATTGGAAGTTAAGGACACATTTGCAGACTTGATTGCATGTATCAGGTACCGGTACCGGTGTTTCTTTGTGTTCCGCCCATGCTTGAGCTTGAAGCTAAAGTCACAGCGTTATTTTTTATTAATCAAATAATTACCAGACAAACCCTCTCTCTACCAGCAATTCCATCCGTATGTGATGCCCTCAAAATACAAGCCTCGTTTCGAACACCTTTAATGAATATATGTCCTGGGGCCGAGTTTCATGATTCTCGGAAATTTACGGTTGGTAGTCTTTACCCTTACAGACCGGTTTCTGATCTTTATCGTGACTGTAAACTGATATAATGAACTCTTACCTCTTCTTCCCTTAGCAAGGTACCATCCTCAACACACTTCCTCTCCGAATTTTCCTTACTGCAGTCAAGAAACGGTAACACAGTGTTTAACATTACAAATGACCTTAAACCTCCCTTTATTCGGTGGTAAACCTCTTAAATCCGCAAGGGTATGGAGTCATAATTTGTTGTCATATTAAAAGTATATAGTTAAGTTATGAGTCACACTTTAACGCGCTCAATTTACATTTTCTTGCTAAGATATAGTCAGTTTAGGAGACCCCATTTTTCTAAGGTTACCCCGAACTCACTTACATGAAGCAAATGTCGACAAGCAATGAATATTAATTCAGATGAAGGTAAAAGTTTTAGTTTCAAACCATAGTTTTGGTTTCGAGCCAGCCCTTTCTTAAAGGGATCAAAAAATAATTCAGGCTTCAGAATATAAGTCTATGTCAGTGCTTCAGTAAATTAGGCACCTTCCAAATTTTAGCAACAGACACTAGAAAAAAGCGTGTTTCTCAAACAGCCGTGTTTCATTAAGCGTTGTTGTAACTAAGTTTATTAGTTAGGTTCTGTTACTGAGGCGTTTAAGCTTGAACATACATTATGTACACAAGACTCTCTCTGAACGTTCTCCATCCCTTCTTTAAAGGAAATTTTTTTTATAATCATCATTATGTACAAATTATTATCAATATCCTAACCGCCCTGCACAACTCTTAATACCACTAGGCGAGAGTACAAAGCAATATTTCTAACAGCATTTCCTGCTGATCACATCGTTTACATCAGCCAGTCTGAATATCATGTTTACCGATGACCGTTTGGTTCGAATGAGAAATAAAAAGAAAGAAGCATAACCCTTAGAAAATGTCAGTAACGTAGGCAATTAAAGCAAAATTCTATGCAAGTATATGCATATAAAATACCTCAGAACTGAGTCTATGCATCGTCTACAGTAGCGATGTCCGCAAGACGTCTGCTTCGGTTCTTGTAACAGATCATTGCACTTGGTACACAAATGTTTTGGATCAGTCTTGTCTCGGTCAGTTTCAGCGAGTCGATAACCCATTACTGTCCCTCGTTAACTGAAACAGAATCCGCAAATAAATCTTCAAATAATTGTTATATAACTCGGTAAAAGTACCTTGCATTCGCAGCTTATACGCATTTATTTTCACTATCGATTTTATAATCAGTGCCAGTCCAGTGCTAAATCCGGATACTTATGAAACCTACGTAATATCAGAAGTAAATAATTTCACTAAAATAGAAAAATACTCCCAAATTAGGTATTGGGAATTTTCCCGGAAACGTCACTTTTAATATATTTAGTAAGAAGAGATTTTTGTTCTTTCTGTACTGTCGTCCATTATTCTGAATAGATTTTTATGAAATCTATCCCAAAACTGAATAAGCGAAACACGATTGGTAAGTACAACTTGTTTTGGCCCATTTTAAATACCAACAGTTGGTTAAAAAGGCTTTAGTCAAGCGCATGAAACTTATCATTATCAGCTTAACTAAACACTATGGTTGAGATCACTTTACTTCTGGATGTCTTTCGGGGCTTAAAATTAGTCCTACAGCTTCCTGCTAAAGAAGATACGAGTGGCATTTGCACTTAAGTTAAAGTTTGCTTTTTCGGAAGAGTCAATATAGTCAGAGCGATAACTACCTTTAACAAATAACTCAGTGCGAAACGAAATACGCAGCGCTTATGGGGCATGAACTAAAAACGTAGAAGGCGCGATCAAACATGCTTGTTTTGCGCCTAACATTTCGGCTGAGTTTGTGAGGCTGTTCAAAGAGTCGAGGAATTAATTCTCTTACCATCGAAATAAAGAGATCTTCATTGATTTACTTTCAAAAGGCTGCTTAATTTAAAAAATATATAGGACACCAGAAATGTACTCCTTACAAATTCGTTACGATCTATCGAGCGTGGGAATAGAGTATGACGACTTTTTGAAGTTAACTTGAGTATAGAATACTTGCATAAGAACGTACCTAAGTATTGAAACTTTCTCTTCCAATTAGGATTGAGTCCGTTGGGTCTTCAGATCTGTTTGTACCATACACTAACGGGTTAGTAAGACACATTATACATATATTGTTTAATGAAACAAGGGAGATTCCCTAGTTAATATGCTATTTTTTTCATTTGGATAATAATCGTTCTTCTTTAGACCTGATCTAGCACTTCCTGTTTACAGCTAAATCTTTGCTCCTAGTGCAAAAAAACTCCCAGTTTATCAGCCCTTGTTACGGGTACTATAAAAAACTTGCTTTTGACGTTTTCTTTTTAATCTGCACGTGTTGCTGTGAAATCCCCCGTGTCACTAAGGGTATCGATGCCTTTTCCCCGATGACTATTGTTGATTCGCAGATCACGTCTTTTCAGAGAGTCTGGTGGTCAGCTTCAAGTTATTAGTGTTCATTCCTATTCAGAACTGTCCAAATGATATCTTCTTCGTGTTAAAATACCACTCTGGCTATTGTCCTGACCTTCTGTTCAGTTGATACCAGGTTGCGCCACGTAGCTTTTGCTATGAATCAATAGTATAGTCGACTATGCCCTAAATAAGGGGGGTAAGTTTCTAAATAAACTTTGGTGCTGCATTCAGAATGCAATTATAACAGGGAGAGTATAGTTTTGTTTTCAAGGTTTTATTTGTCACCGCTATACTACTTAAATTTGCCCATAAGGCACGAGCCAAGTTGTCTCTCATTTCTATGGCTTTTGTAAAACAAATATGTCGATTTACATAGACAGAACTTTATGTTTTACTTAGATTGATAACTGGGGTGCACTAGGACCCGGTTACATCATGTTCTTTATGCATGTAGATTAACTACGTAATAAATGAAGCTTTCCTCTTAGCCTGATTTGAAACTACAACTATGACTACATGTGGATTTGACGCGTTATTCCTTATGACGATTTAATTGTTGCCACTTTATATACGAACTATTCCCTTAAGAAATCAAAGAGAAAATTTTATTATTGCTAGGTTAACGAGGGCTGCACTCAAATAACGTCATACATTCCGAAATGGCGCCACGCGAGATATCGAGACATTTGTCATCAATTTTTTGAGTGTGGTGCTTTTTTCCCAGTATCTGGAGCTATTCCGCCTCCTTAAGTCTGTTCAGCCGCCTCCTGTAGTAAAGCAAATCTGCCCCCACCCTTACGAATTCGCTCTAAAATCTTTCAACAGTTTATTTTTGATTGACTCAAAAGTAGAAAAAAATGCATTTTGATTTCGACAGAAAAAGAATATATTCTTAACGGTAAGGAAACGAATTAAAAGATTTGGGGGCAAACTGGTGAAGGTGGGGCGAACGTTTTGTACTTCAGGGGGGAGGGGGGGGGG